CAGCTGTTCGATCCCCTCTTCAGAGCTTCGGGACCCGACCGCGGCAATTGCCTCCGTTCACAGATGACGTTCAAGACACGCACCGCCTAATTCACAATGGGATACCATTGTGTCCCTGTGAGTCTGCTGATGAGGCATTGATTGTCAAAACCGGTCCCGAGTTTGCTGTTGTTAAACCAACGCTGTTACAATCATTAGGCACTTCCAGAAGGTGATGGGACGAGTAAAAAAAACTTGATTTTTTTTTACCTGGAGGGACAGATATGTGAACGAGGTGCATTGTCTGCTTATTTATTTGGGTCTCTCCTAGCTCTGCTCAGCCTTAAATCAGTACCTGGTGCGGTATGTAAACATTGGAACCTCCGATTATTAGCACGGTTGGCTACGTACGGTGCGAAAGAAGTTGAACGTGCACACAAAGGCGGAGCGATGTGTAAGAACATCTCCGTTCCGGCCTTAACAGGTGTCCGCTAAGGGCACTTGCCCCGACCGTCTGCGTGGTTTACCACACGGGGGACCTTTGTCTTTGTTTGCCCCTGGCACGAGTCGGTATATCCGCGTGCGACGAGAGCGGCGAGCGAAGGGCGCGATGGGACGCAGCCTTCAGGTCGCGCCTCTCATCGACAATAATAATGATTATTATTATTGGGGGCGGCAGTCGCGTGTACATAAACCCTGATGTCCCAGCCAGCTCCCTCTCTCGCCATCCCAGCTCTCGTTCTACCCGTGTGTGTGAGTCCCAACTCTCTCCCGCCATCCCAGTTATCTCTGTGTGCCAGCTCCTTATCTCTTTTTTTACGCTCAGTGGAAACAAGAAGATGCTCGGTGTAGTCGGCACTTTGCTTCGTTCATCATTTCGTAATCTTTTTTTAAAACTTTGCTTTATGTAAACCCCCACCTCTCGCTCACTCTCTCGCTCTCTCTAGTTCTGCACGCAGCCCTTCTCGCAGTCCAACGGCCTCCTACACCATCCAGCCATCTCTCTCTCTAGACTTATCATCTTTCTCCCTCTCTCTCTCTCTGTGTCTCAGCTCTCTCCATCTCTCTGTGTCTCAGACCTCCCTCTCTCCATCACAGACCTCTCTCCCACCATACCATCCCAGACCTCCCTCTCACCATCACAGACCTCTCTCCCACCATCACAGACCTCCCTCCCTCCATCCCGGACCTCCCTACCTCCATCCCAGACCTCCCTCCCTCCATCCCAGACCTCTCTCTCACCATCACAGACCTCCCTCTCACCATCCCAGACCTCTCTCTCACCATCACAGACCTCCCTCTCACCATCCCAGACCTCTCTCCCTCCATCCCAGACCTCCCTCCCTCCATCACGTACCTCTCTCCCTCCATCCCAGACCTCCCTCTCACCATCACAGACCTCCCCTCCCTCCATCCCAGACCTCCCTCCCTCCATCCCAGACCTCTCTCCCTCCATCCCAGACCTCTCTCCCTCCATCCCAGACCTCCATCCCAGACCTCCCTCTCACCATCCCAGACCTCTCTCCCTCCATCCCAGACCTCTCTCCCTCCATCCCAGACCTCCCTCTCACCATCCCAGACCTCCCGCCATCACAGACCTCTCTCCCTCCATCACAGACCTCCCTCTCACCATCACAGACCTCCCTCTCACCATCACAGACCTCTCTCCCACCATCGCATACCTCCCTCCCTCCATCCCAGACCTCTCTCTCACTATCCCAGATCTCTTTCACACGACCCCAGCTGTCTTTAACTATCCCAGCTCTCTCCCTCACTCTACCACCGGACACTCTCTATCGTTCTGTCTCACACACAGAGGACAAGGCCCAGTGCACTCATCAGAGGTCAAAGATGTAACGATAGGGCTGTGCCATCGACAGAGGTCAACGTTATTGTGATTATGCCGCCAATCGCCGGGTGCGGCGTGGTGGCCGCTGCTGATGTAACGGCTCAGCGCTCCACCACGAACACAGACACTGCGGACGTAGCGAGTCGTGCCCGCCTCACAGAACGTGTACAGCCTTTGTCAATCCGCTGCTGGATGAAGCCCCCCTCCTCTACACTTTGCCGGTCAAGGCGGGTCATTTGACTATACTTCACCAGGCTGGTTAGTGCAGGTGGCTGGGGAGGGGAAGGCGGCGTGGGCAGGGCGGGCACATATATCACTCGCCACTGATGGTGGCCGGGAATCGAACTCAGCTTGGATGTCGGGTTTGTAGCGCAGTGCGCTCAGCGCTGCCCTGTAGGTCCAGCAAAATGCTAATATATAAACATGTGATAATAATAACAATCGTGTGCATATAACATGAACATCTGTGAAAAAGAGCTTCATAGCTAATCGTATTTATCCAAGATAAATACATATTATAATTCTGTAGACTGTATATGTGTCTTCATAAGAAACGTTTTTGGGTGAGATCGCATTATTTATAAATGTGTCGTAACCCTCCACCACCCGACACGGCCAATCAGCAAAAAGTGTCACGTTGACAAGAGACAAATAGGTCACTACTTTAGCCCACCGGTGTGTTGAAGAGTGAAATTATTATGAATAATATTGGTCGCGAAAGCCTACGTGTTAAACTGTATATGTGTGTGTGGCGAATATTTGAACCGGTCCTAGGTCTCTCCTAGGTCGACGTAGCCTTAAACGAGTACTTGATGACATGTGCAATAAACATCAGCGCTGGGGAGACAAAGGCGTGGGGATTGACCACCCAATCCCCACGTGTGCCGTGCCAGCCTTCATAGGTGCTCACTAAACAGCACTTGGGGATCTTTATATAAATACGTTGAACTTCTTTCGCACCGTACGTAGCCAACCGTGCTAATCGGAGGTGCGGCGAAGAACAGAAAACTCAACACAACAACAATCAGTTTTGAAGGAATACGTTTTCAATCTAGATTTACAAGTGCATGGCTCCAGTGGCTTCCTATGTGTGTGTGTGCGTGCCACGTGGCGTATTGCTTCGCAGGCTCGTGAACGGCATTGCTCGATGTCGTGCGATCCGTGGACCTCCCTCGTTGATTTCTATCGTCCACCCGTGCTGAGGACCGGCCGTACATGTTATGTATATCGTTTATTGTTAAATTTGAATCACAGTTCCTATGATTACTGTTGTTACATTTGTTTAATAATTATAAAATTATATCCCTTCTACGTGACTTTACCGAAAGAACTAAATAATATGAATCCCTGCAGTCATGAAAGCTTTAAATCGAAATTGTTTTTGTAGCTTTATTTTGGTGATTTCGAAAACGTTTTGGTTGAGCCATATTTGTTTGTTGTAGTACAGAGTTAGACTGATAACTTTAATGTAAATTGTCTTGTGGTTGTTAGTGTTTGACTTGCATCCCATTGGGATGCAAGTCAAACACAGCGTTGATATAGGGTGCTTTTTCTGGAAGACTTTGCTGTTTTTTCCTAGATTTTTTGTTCATGTTTTTGTTTGTTGTTGTTGCACCCGATTCAAGAGCCGAATGGCTCACAGAGCTCTACCTTATCAATGAACTGAACTGAGGACCCCCGGCCTTTACCCGGCGTCTCATCCTGCCCAACTTGGATCAACCACCAACATTGCAGGTCGCGCCACCGCTCTCTCGGTCTCTCCCTCGCTCTCTTCAAACCTACTGGGGTTTGACAGCCAGTGTTGTGATTCATAATTGTTTTTGTTGTTGTTGTTTAGGCCACGTAATTATCCGGCCACAGCTGTGTCGTGAACACCCTCCGCCACCCGACACGAGCTGAACGCGCCGATTATTGTTTTGTTTGATCTCGCCGACAAAGTTGAATAACAATTCTCACAATCAAATTTAGCAAACATACACTAAATGTTGTGATGAGCATTGTACTCCTACTTACTGTGGAGCTAGGACACTAGTAATTGGTGCGTTAAATGCTTGCACAACACCACGTGGCATTCATTTGCTTGGCCCTGTCGGGTGGTGGAGGGTACCAACAAACACAGTTGGTACGATCAGCACGTGGCCTTGCTCCAGCATCTATTATGAATCACTTCTCTCTCTCTGCTTCGTCCCTCGCTCTGGTCCACTCTGGAATTCTCTCCCATCACCGTCTCTTTTCCCAAGCTCTTGCGATGGTCTCGCTCAGCACAAGCGACGTGTCAACTCTTACCGATTTACAGCCGTCAAACGAACGATTCGTTGATGCCGCTGCGTTGGCAGTGGTGCACAAGCACAATTTAACAAACAACCCAAAAACTCTACACGGTCGTTAAGAGCACGGTGGCCTTAAAAGAAAACAAATAGTACACAGCATATTGTGTCGACTCTATTTGTATCTAAACACTATTTATTTACACATCTTTTTTTTTTTACCAAGTGAGGCTTTCTAGCTCTCTTTCGGAAACGATCTGGCCACAAATGATAGCTCAATGCAGTGGCAAATGTGGACATTTATAGCAGCCAAACACCCCAAACGCGTGTTTCTAAATGTGGAGAGAAAAACCGGAGGACCCAGAGAAAAATCCCCTTGTCAGTGCCTATCTTATTCTAGACCAATTCAGACCTTATTGCTCACCCCGTGCCCTCATAAATCTCAACGTTCATCTTACAAAGTCCCATCACAAGGGGGAAACACAAACAAATCGACACTATTATTGCCTGCATTGACACGGCTGTACGCCGTATGGACCTAAAAACTCAATTTCCCTCTTCAAGAATACGGGCTCAACCGCATGGGATCGAACCCACGACCTCCTGCATAGCAGGCGAGGTAGTCCACCGTTGTATTTGCATGCGGAATACCCATAACGCAGTGCAACAAAGCGCGCATGAGTTCAGTAAATCCAGAGACACGTGTCTGAGACCCCCCCACAGCCCCCTCCCCCCAACCCCTCCCCCTAAACAGCCCCCACCTCACGGGCTAAGTCGGTTACGAGCGGGCAGGACGGGGGGGGGAGGACGACCACGTGATCACTCCGCCACGCGCTCACCCCTGACCCCCCCCTTCCTCTCCCACCACGCGCATGCGCAGTGCCGGCGAGGCCTAGGCGAGGTGGGCCCGCGCGTCGTTCCACGTTTGTCGAGTGGAGGCGGATTTCGCGAGCGGCGCGCCGCGTCTGTTGCTGTTGTTGTTGCTGCGCTGCAGCTCCTCTCTGAGTAGCGTCGCTTCTCGCTTGGTTACTCCCCGAGTGAGTGCGGCTGCTCGCGTCGTCGTTGTTGTTGTCGCTGCTGCTGCTCTGGGGTTTGTGTGTAAAGGAGAGCGCTGTGCTGAGACTGGGCGCCCGCGCGGGTCGCCCGGTGGAGCGAGTGCCAGAGAACACGTGGAGACACGGGGGGGGGGGGGGGGCAGAGAACACGTGGAGACACGGGGGGCAGAGACACGTGGAGACACGGGGGGGGGGGGCAGAGAACACGTGGAGACACGGGGGGCAGAGACACGTGGAGACACGGGGGGGGCAGAGACACGTGGAGACACGGGGCGGGGGGGGGGGCAGAGAACACGTGGAGATACGGGGGGGGGGCAGAGACACGTGGAGACACGGGGGGGGGGGGGCAGAGACAGAACACGTGGAGACAGACATGAGGGCAGAGACGGGGGGAAAAGACACGGGGGGGCAGAGACACGTGGACACGGGGGGGGGGGGGGGGGGGCAGAGAACACGTGGAGACACGGGACACCGGGAGACGATGGGAGACTCAAAGATAGACACGGGTTGACATACTTTGAGATACGGGGAAACGGGACAGAGACATCGAGACGGACAAGGCGGGAGGGTAGAGAGGGGGTGACAGACACGTGGAGACAGAGACACCGGGGGCAGAAACACGGTGGGGACAAATCCAAGTGGAGACATGGGGAGACAGACAGGGAGATAGAGATACGTGGACACACTCGAGACAGAGACACGGGCACAGCCACGTGGAGAGAGACACGAAACGCAAGAACACCGGGGACACACTGGGGACCGAGACACAGGGCCAGAGACTGGTTTTGATCATGCAGAAGACACCGGTACACTGAGACACGGCTATCGGGATACGGAGACAGCAATATTGCGTGGAGACTTGGACCATTAAAAGTAATATTAAAAAAAAAACTTTTTTAAAAAACACGCTTTAATGAGATGTACCACACTAGCAATGGAAGAACTCCACGACTCCAGGAAGTGGCCCTAAAACTTGCCATAACTTAAGGGGCGTTTAAAAATATATATTTTTTAATTTGTAATGATACAATATAGTATTGTCCTTAGTATGACATAAGTATACCAAGTTTTGCAGTCGATACCACATTGGGAAGTGGGTACAAATTGAGTTACAAGATTTGAGGATACAACAACAGACTTTGTGAGTTAATAAAAAAAGCGTGTAATAATAAAATAGATATCTAGTGTGTACTTTATTTAACCCTGGTGAGAACCTATTAAGGTTGCACATTTTTTTCGAAAAGTGATGTTTCCTAATAGAGCACAAAATGCCTTTGGAAAGAAATGAAAGTATTTCAAACAACGGCCAAGACGGTGATATAATTACTCAACTGTAACAGAGTGCTTATTAAAGAACGACGAATTAACAGGGGAGGTTTCGGTAACAAATGCATAGAACTCTCAAGGTGACGTCAAGTCTATACTCAAAACACACGCCAGGCTGTTAGTGACCACCACCACCACCACCCCCCACTGCTGAGAATTCCTTCCTGCTCTGATGGCGTGGAAGGAGGGAGGCAGTCGCTCCAAGATACTTACTCAAGGCGCCTTATAAATAGATGTAAATTATTACGATAATTGTAATCAGAGGGAAGTTTGTCACTGCGGATTGTTGCACTTTAGCTGGATTTAAGAGATGGGGCGTAACATTGGCCTGACTGTAGAAATAATATCCCCGCACGCCACAATAAATGCATACGAATGGATGCTGTGCATTAGGCTGTCAACCCATGCGTTTTTTTACCCCGTATTCTTGTACAGGGAAATGGAGTTTTCAGGTCTATACGGGCAAAACAAATAAATCAAAATTGTGTCTCTCTTGTTTGTTGTTCACCCTTGAGATGGGACTCTGTAGGATGAACGTGGAGATTTATAAGGGACACGGGGTGACCAATAAGGTCTGAATTTGTCTAATAATGTAGGCATTGATGAGGGGTTGACAGGTATGCATTAATTTCAAATAAAATACTCGAAATAAATCTAAAAAAGTTTTTGTTGTGCCTCCTGTTTATTCGTTGGGGTTAATGGCCGGTTTGTTGGCGCTGTGGTTAGAGAGCTTGACACAATCTGTTAAGGTTGTAGGTTCAAATTGAGGGGTCAGCTCTGGTCATTTATCACCCGGCCTGTTTTGACAAAACTGGTGGTGCTTGTCCAATGGAGAGATCGCTTGCCATAGGAAGCTGGAATTTGTCCCACTGCTTCGGGCCACCAATGGAGATGAGCAGCACCATGTAATTTACATTTGAGGAAGCCGACTCTTTTAGTTTGACTTTAATATTTGGTCAGGAATTATACGTTCATAGCTCTATTACTAAGTCTGTAAATGCAGCCTAATGTCACCGTGTGTCTGTGTATTTGTGTGATTTCTGGCAAACGTCAGTGGCGGGGGAAATGTTAACATTGACTTCACAGATGCACGTCCCTAGGGTACGGCCAATCGGGGCAGCTGCCCCGGGCCCCATGCTTTTGGGGGGCTCCTCGCTTCGACGTCACGGTGTCAGATGTTTACTGGCGTCGGCGAGCCCACGTGGTGTGATTTGCCCCGGGCCCCGCACCCCCTATGGCTCTGTACACATGTACCTATTAAGACGAGGAAATGAACCCTCTTGAAAATCAAGAGGCTTAGGTTTTTCCTGGTTAACAAAGTATTGTAATATAAATATAATAATTGATGCTACTTATTGCTGGCTCACTGAACCCTTCCCCCTCTGTTCTAACCATTCAGTGCTTGTGCATTTCTATTTTTTCCCCAGTGATGCTGTGAAGCTGTCTGAATCAAGACATTTTCTTTTTACTTGTCTTCCTTCAAGTCCTCACTAAGCAACACCAACAACCCCACATCTACCAGCACCAATCGACACCAGCACCACCACGTGGAGCCATGATGTTCGAGGGACTCTCGGACGTGGAGGCGTACGAGGATGAGCTGTACGGCGAGGTGGACTCGGAGTCCGACTCGTGCGTTGACAGCGAGGTGGAGTTCCAGCTTTACAGCCAGGTGCACTACAGCCAGCAGCTCCCATCAGGCGCGGATGTCACAGCCGCAGACACAGCCGCAGACAAAACTGCAGACAAAACTGCAGACAAAACTGCAGACAAAACTGCAGACACAGCCGCAGACAAAACTGCAGATGTCTCTGGCAATGCTGCCACTGCCACCACCATCGTCAGCTCGACTCCTCGCCCGCTGAAACCCGAAGTCATCGTCATCTCGTCTGACGACACGGCGGCTCCGGTGATGCCCGTGAGTAGCATCCGAGCGAGCGGCCGAGCGAAGGAGGCGACGGTGGCGAGGCGCGCCAAGCGCACTTCTCCGCACGTGGTGGTGGCGGGCGGCTGGAAGGCGACACGGGGCGGCGTTCGCGGCAGGGTGCGCGAGACCATCACGCTCGAGACCGAAGGCTCCGACACGTCACACGCGCAGACCCTCGACGACAGCAGCGACGACAAAGATGGCGGCGACGACGACGACGATGACGACGACGGCTCGTCGGTGCGGAGCTGGATGCTGCTTGGCGGCAAGGGCAGAGGGAGGAAGCGTGACGCACTGGAGAAGCCCGAGGAGATCATGATCAACCTGCAGGGCGATGGACGGGCGGGCAGAGAGTTCAGCTCGGAAGGTGAGCGACGCGAATGGGAGATCTCACAATGGCACTGGTGTTGAATGGAAAAACAACGTCATCTCCAATTGGAGTTTGGTTTTGTGGTGCAGGCGGGCGGACGGGGTAATGGTTGTTGATGGACGTCATCATGGACGTCATCATGGACGACATAACCACGCTTGCAATTGCAAGCGTGGTTATGTCGTCGCCCGATAACTGTTTAATGGATCTGCAACTTCATTTTAATTGCACTATGATCATTCTAAATATAATTTTCTAGGTAATTTAGGCTTCAGGGAATGTATTACTTTTAACGTTGATTCGTGTTTGTGCAATGCTTTCGATATCACGTGACACTTGTATTTGTGATGATTTATATTTGCCTCATTGCTTTGCCTTATTTTTGTTGTTGCTTTCGTCATTTTGGTGACCGAGGTCAATATTGCAAATTACACTCATCCTGGTTCCGTAAGTTCTCACCTGGTTAATGAAATAAAACTCGAGGGAACCTAGGATTGGGGGTAATAGGACTTAGGGCTCGCGATTGGATACAGCGCTTTTTTCAAAGTGGCAGACTCTTCCGTTACAGCGTCGTGAACGTGGACTCTTAACGGTTCATCCCTTGCATGATGAGGTGCATTTCCACCATGGTCACTGATTTGTGTGTTTTTACTTGCCCTGTGGTGCGTTTACAATTGAGTAATGCGAGTCTATAGAGTATATAATGCGAAAAAACTGTTGTTGCACGCACACATTGCGAGGCTTTTTTCATGAGCATAAGATTCGATATTATTCAATGATCCGTGATGTTCACACTGACCAGTGGGATGATTCGTCTGTGGAGCTCCTTGCCTGCTTAATGTTTTGCTCCCAAACACCTGGTTTGCTTGGCAAACTTAAAAATATAATTACTGGTTTTGCCATGTATGTTTCAATTGGCCTCCTGCTGTCACAAGACACAGCACCTTTCATTGATAATTTCACAGTGAATGGGGGAACTTCACATTGCATCCGAGAATATCACTGGAATGTAACTTGAAATAACTTTTTCCGAGTCTGATAAATTTTACCTTTTTATTCACAAAGCAAAACTTTAAATATCTCCGATGTGTTTTGGATCTTTCCCCGTGTGTTTTTATTTATTCTTTGGTTCTTTCGGTTAAGTCACGTCTAAAAATAAAATAATAAATTAAAATAATAGCGACGTTTCGATTGCAACACAAGCAATCATCATCAGGCATAAAAGAAATAGCAATAAAAATCGAAGAAGAAAACTATAGACAGACATAAGCAGTCTGTCTATAGACAGACATAAGCAGTCTGTCTATAGTTTTCTATTTCGATTTTTATTGCTATTTCTTTTATGCCTGATGGTGATTGCTTGTGTTGCAATCGAAACGTCGCTATTATTTTAATTTATTATTTTATTTTTAGACGTGACTTAACCGAAAGAACCAAAGAATAATTCCTGCAGTCACGAAAGCTCCAAATTAAGATTGTTTTTATTTATTTTCGGCATGGTATCCGATGTTGTATTCCCATGTCCTGCGAACTTCTTCAGGAGAATTCAAGCAACGTAGTTAAATAACTTGCGTCATTCCATACCGAAACAACATGCCGCACAGCCTCAAAACACATCGGAGAACTCTACGGCACCACCGTGGAAACCTACAAGGTGTAGCACACCTTGTTACAATTCCTGCAGTGGGTGTTGGTCACTTTGCAATTGAAACCACAATTTGTTATTCCTAATATCTGAAATCTAACCAATTAAGTGGCAAACCGAATGTAAATGTTTTTTTTTCTGCAGTCATTAGTAATTAGCCTGAGACCATGAACTTGATAAGTATAATTTCAGGTGGCTGAAACTTAGCCTCTTAGTGGTGCCGGCATGGCACTGTGAATCCTCTGCCACCTGGACACCTCTAAAAAGGGTGCTCTGGACTGTAGACAGACTGACCGGTCTATAATGGGGCCCCTAGACAATAGACTGACTGACCTGTCTGATGGGTCCCCTAGACAATAGATTGACTGACCAAGTGTCTGATGGGGGCCCCCTAGACAATAGACTGGCTGACCGGTCTCTGATGGGGCCCCCTCAACAATTGAATAACAAACTGGATTCTGATGAGGTTCCTAGACATTTTACGATAGGCATGACTCTGCTGTTACATTTGGACAAAAGACTGAGAAATCTGTTTCTGATGTGTGTCTCTAGAGGACCATGATAACAGACCGGTTTAAGATGAGGTCTTTAGGCAAGAGAATGATGAACTGGTCTCCGAAGGGGTGTGTATACAATAATAATAATAGACAGACTGATCTATGATGGACTCTTTTGACAATAATTATCTACAGGCAGCTATCTGATGAGGTCTCTATACAATACGCTGACAGGGGCCGTCTCTCTCTCTCTCAAGCAACATTACCCCGAAAGAAACCCAACACAAACGTGCATTTGCCACCGCAGCTCGGCTCCGCTTGTCAGCTTCCCAGCCCCGTGGCCTTTTGACCCGAAAATCAATTTGTGGCGACAGACACGGCGACCGTGCCACCGAGAGAGTCCATTGCGACGTTGTCACGATGCGCGCCATGGGTCAGAAGGCTCCTCTTTAGGACTCTCCAACGTTTAATGACCGAGGCCCACGGAGGCAGAATGTTAATGAGTGAAACGCCTCTCGGATTCACAGGGTTCGGCTGTTAAAAGCCGGAGGCTCGGAGAAACCGAACGCAAATGTGACCGCGTTCTTGCGTTCCACTGACTCTGGCCAGCCTGGTAGTCACGTTGGTGTTTTTAAAGTGACTTTTTTGCCCACTTTTATTTGTCTCATGCCGGTGATGATTATTTATGTTGACACTTCTTACATTTTCATAGGTTTTAGGTATGTTGTTAGGTTATTCACGTCTTCCGCCTATCATGCCTTTGGGGTCGATAACATAATGCGCAACTTTGCGGAAGGTTAAAAGTGATTTTTATCTGGGCTGTGGAATTTCCAGTTGGTTCTTGGCATGTAGAATAGTTAAGCGACACCCGACAGCTGTTTGAGCAGAGATGTTTTAACCCTGACTTGCTACGTGCATGCACACAAACGCACGCGCAGACTATTTCACCGAATTCTCAAACACTCGGTTCTGCCCCGCAGAAGGGATAATTAACCTCGGTGAGCTCTCACCTGGGCGAATAGAGGACGCAGATGTCTCGCTAATGAATTGACTCTGAAGGCAGTCACGGTCAGTTTGGGTGTGAATGCATTTGCCATCGATTTCAGATCATTGAAGTTGATTGTGAGCAATTCTGATCAATACCACGCCCCTGCCCTCAATGTTGACTGATGAATTCCACTTGGCTGTCAAATGCACGTCCATTTCCCCCACTTGCATTGAGCTGCCGATCGTTAAAGTCAATGGGACTCGATTTGATTCAATGTCCCTTCGAGTTACCTCTCTTTCACTGGGGGGAATTTTTTGCATAGAGAGTTGGAAGCCCTAATTGCGTTAGACTCTACTTGTGGGCAAGTAATCCAGAAGCGGGTTACGTGGAGTGCTCGAATCATGGATAGAAAGGTTTCGAGTCTCAGTCCCGGTCCAGGGATTCCTATGTTGAAAGTATGAGTGCCCCTTTTTGTCAGAATCGGTGGCTGTCCCATAGGGAGACCAAGCCCTTCCACATAAATGTGGAACATTCACCACAAGCTGACAGCTGTCAAGCGCGTTGCCGCACGCCCTCGTTTTTGAGTAGGACGGTCGGCGATCGAACTTGGGAAACGTTCTTCCCTCGACCACCTTCAACAAAAAACCGGCGTCTTCAAATCGCCGCTAATCACCGTGTTAATAACTGCGTGCGAATTGTTCCCTGTGTTTACTCGCGTCTGTCGGGGCGTGCGTTTTACCGCCCGCTGGCTGACCTTACCTCGGTGTCAAGTGGTGCGGGGGGAGGGGGTGTAGAGGGAGGTTGGTGGGTGATGTAGGGGTGGATAGTACGCATGAAACTATACTTGCACACTCACAACTCGTCACTATCGACCCTGCTGTGCACACCACACTGACTCCTCCACCTCAAGTCTCTAGTACCACCACCACCATCACCCCTCCCAGTCCACCCCCCCACTTCAGCACCGGAGCATGCAGACCTCATTTTCGGCCGACACGGCCACGTCGCATTATCACTGCACGCCTAATTAGCGACAGCGCGGGGAGAGTGAGAGGGAGAGATGTGGAGGCGGTCGGTGGGTGGGTGGGGGCTCTGTTGTCCTCTGCAGCAACAACGACAACGGCGGTGGCGAGCGATGGGAGAAGCAGACCGCACACACGGGGAGGGGGGGGGGGACGAAACAAATCAGCCAAGGACGTCAACAAACACGGCAGCCGCGGCGAGAATCGCGCGCGCGCCCCGCGCTGCTGGGCAGACAAGGGCCGCGGCGTCACGTTGCGCCGTGTCGCCCCGACGATCCCGCCTCGTTCCCACCGCCACCGCCACCACCGTTCCATTGGCACAAACCGGGCCCAAGCTGGGCCGTGGCTATGCCAGAGTCCTCGCTGCGTTTGCACGGCGGCGCACGTGTGCACACGCCGGTGCTTTGGTTGTGCCCTACTAAGCGTGCCCGAGGGCGGGGGGGGGGTCCTCACGGCGCGGATGACGCCCGCTCAGGTTCCGTTGCGTCGAGGGAGTGACAGGGTGTGTGTGGCGGATCGATGGTTTGGTTCGCATTATGACCAACATTCGGGTTTTGACTTGGGCTGAAACTGGTCCAGAGTAATCTGTGGAACAGTGCTGCTGAATGATATTAGCCTGGAAAGCCGAGTGGCAGATGGACCAAAATTGAGCTCTATATCAATTTCTTGAAGAGACGGACTTCTTTCTTGGCTATTATCTATTTACTAACAGCCTTATACTCCGACTCGTCCTCTGCGACTGAGATACGCCACCAGTGTTGCTCGGCGAATGAAACATCCTGCGATGTGCCGCGTGGCCTTCCGTCACGAGCGTCCTTTGGTCTCTGCCCGGTGTGGAGATGGCG